TACATCACTGGACCTCAATGCTGGACGGAACAGGAGCAACTATCCGAGTGTTTCTATTTGACTATAAAAAGGCATTCGATTTCATCGATCATACTATCCTAAGGATCAAGTTAGGTGCTTTAGATTTACCAACTAGTATCATCAACTGGATTATCGACTTTTTATCGGATAGATTTCAAAGGGTTAAGCTGTCAAATAGTTGCCTTTCTGAATGGGGCCAAGTACCGGCTGGTGTTCCTCAAGGAACCAAATTAGGCCCTTGGCTCTTCTTAATAATGATTAACGATTTGAAGAAACATAGTGAGAACTTATGGAAATACGTTGACGATACCACGGCGTCGGAAGTTGTATTGCAAGGCGAGCACAGTGAAGCTCAACTGATTGCAAATGAAATTTTAGATTGGTCCAATATCAATAGAATGCAATTAAATGCTGATAAATGTAAGGAGATACGAATTTCTTTTGCACGGAATCAACCCGAGCTTAACCCAATTTCAATTGAGAATCAAATCATAGAAGTTGTACCCGATTTTAAAGTGCTAGGTCTTAACATTAGCAACAACCTTACGTGAAATAAACATATCACTGAATTAGTCAAGAAAGCCTCCAAAAGGATATATTTCCTTATTCAACTTAAGAGAGCAAAAATCCCAATACAACAACTAATCACATTTTACATAACCTGTATAAGATCTGTGTTGGACTATGCTGTCCCGGTTTTCCACTACAGCCTACCCAAGTATTTAAGTCAAGATTTGGAACGAGTCCAGAAACGCGTATTTGGAATTATTTATCCCCATTTGAAATATGAGGAAGCTTTAAATCTCAGTGGAATTGAACATCTTTCCACTCACCATCAAAACAGCTGCAAGAAATTGTTTAATGCAATTATCAAAGATTCTAATCACAGTCTACATTACCTCTTGCCGCCAAGGCATAACTCCATCCACGACCTGAGATCTATTAGATCTTTTGACGTTCCAGTTTGTAAAACCAATCGGTTTAGTAATAGTTTTATTATGGCATCGAGTAGCAAAACTGAATAGGTTTTACTCTTCATTTACCTATTTTATATTCTTAATAACTTTGGCATGCTTATTATAAACAGACACTTTTGACAATTTAGTTAATTGTTAAAAGTTGTATAATACTTTGATATATTTCAAAACTCTAATTTTTAATAATTTTTAATTGTAAGTATAATACGCAATTCAGCTCATGGCTGCAATGTATTTACCATTTCTAAATAAAGTATAAAGTAAGTAGAGTAAGAACAGGAGCATCTTATATTAGGTCGGCCGAGTGAATGTTCAGCGGCCTTAAAGTCAATATCATGTGGTAAAACGCCCGGTTCAGACGGACTACCAAATGAGTTTTACATCACGTTTTGGGACATGTTGCGGGAGGACTTTGTCAAGATGGCGAACAATTGCACCGCAGACGGCATAATGCCAGAGTCTGCGTCAAGCTTTGATATCGCTCCTGTACAAGAAGGATGATCCTGAGTTATTAAAAAATTGGCGTCCAATTTCGCTGCTAAATGTGGATTATAAAATTATTACGAAAGTTCTTGTCAATCGCACGTAACCTTTGATGTCCACAGTCATCGACCCTGACCAGTGTTGTGCTGTACCTGGGCGTTCCAGCGAAGATAATGCAACCCTCCTTCGTGACATTTGTGACTATCTCGAAATTCATTCTCAGATTGCGTGTGCATTTATATCTATTGACCAAGAAAAAGCCTTCGACTATGTCGATTGCAAGTTTCTTGATAGGATACTTGAGACTATGAACTTTGGCCCACAGTTTCGCTCTATGATCACTTTCATTTGGCCACGCTCTATGATCACTTCCAGTTGGTGATAAAGATGGCGGACGGAGACAAAAAACTTTGCTCCTCTAATTTAAAGATATTTGGCTTGAAGAACACTGATATATGTTTAATCAAATCGCTAAACGATAAAGCACACCTAATATACGATGGCGTGCGTTTGAAATGGACGTAAGACTTTTGCTCGTTGAAGAATTTTATCGAGAATGTTGTTGGCTTAAAAGGAGTATGGAAATCACCAGGTGGGAATTCTAAACAGTTTACAAGTACAAACTTTGATTTAAATATAACATGGTATCCGGGCAAACAAAATTCATTACTGCCCCACGGTAAAGATTGCTAAAAAAATTACTGACAAGTGTCTTAAATAACGATTGTAGGCGTTGTGATAAGACAAGCGACGGCTTTCACGCTGCAATTGCACAACCGGCCATTTCCTCAACGGGGGAAAAATCACCTAATACAGTCCCGCTTGAAAGTGTTATTGAAGAAGCGTTCGAACGCTTGACGAACAATTTGATCGACGCTGAGGCCTCTACAAATTCATCAACTATACCTGAAGATATAAATGCGAGCAAGGGATCCCTTTCGGACTCCGATACGGCGCCTTCGGCTGCTAGTAATTCGACAATCAGGGACCTTGAGGACTTCATTGACAGTTCATTCTTTAATGTGAACGGTGACGTCCCTCCAAATTTCGCCCAAGTGAGTGGAACTTCTACCCCCATTTCAACAACAAGATGATGATACTTCAGATTCCTTCGAATTACAATTCTTTTCATTTAAAAAGAAAACCGAATCTCAAATATTAGATTTGTTGAGCAAGATGTCTGAACAAAACCAGGTCATCGATGCATGTAAACAAGACCTATGCAAATTAAGGAGCGAAAATTTAAATTTAATATAACTCTGAGTATGATTTTAATGAACAACAGAGTAACAATGTAAGGCACCAATCTAGTAAACCGACTAGTCCACCGAAGTCTATTCTTAGACATACTAGCCACCAATCTGATAAACCGAATAGATCTCCAAATCGGGACGTTAATGCGATTCCAAAAATGGTTATTTCTCAACCTGAAGTGTTACTTGTTTCCTCAACTTCGAAACCCGTGTATAGCCAGATAACCCATCAATTTATTGAGGCTGTTAGACCAGCGCTGTCTCTTAATAGCGCCAAACAGAAGTCCTCTCAGTCTGATGACTCGATCAAAGTGTCTAATGTGAGGTCAGTGCGTGACCCTCAATTTAAATCGGCATCAAAATTATTTTGCGAGAAGTCTGCAAAAGACACTGTCCAAGTGAATTCTGGGACTAGTAACCCAATGAATCTGCTAAATTCGAAGCCTGAAAGTGTCCATGTTAATAATCAATGTTCTGAACCATTCAACTTATCAAATGCGGAACCTTCGAGAAATCTCGACCAAACAATGCCTCACTCATATGAGTCATTTCCCGCATTTAACCTACCAGACCCATTTCCAGCTTCAAGACAAACAAATAGTAATTATGTTCAATTTCCAAAGCCTACGGAGCCGCAGAAATATCCTTACCCTTCCTTCCGTCCCCATTTTTTGGAACGTTGTCACAGTATCCCCTCTTATCGGACAGGCTATCGATTCCACTCCTTGGAGTGGTTAGTTCACCTCAGTGTACCGGGTGGCCCAAAAAAAAGTACTCCTGTTTGATTCGTAATAACTTCTAAACAAGTAAAGTTTTTAAAGAGAAATAACTTGCATTAAATAGAGGAAGGACTAACTTAGATTTTGATATATTACAGTTGTATTTAACTTAAAAATTCACGGATATATTAATGTTAAAAATGGGGAGCATATTTTGGAATGTGTCTAAAATTAGCGAAAATCGGCATATCAAATATTAACTCCAGCGTTTGTTTGCTTAATGACATATTAGGCTAACTTGTATTTCAGCGAATTATCGTTAAGGTTTGTAAGGGATATGGCGTAGATTTAGACATCTTACATGTAAGTCTTAGCTCATTGTTTCCTGAAATATGAACGTTCGAAATTATGCAAGTATTTAATATTAGGTCTTTGCAAACTTAAATGTACATGAAAGACTGACCATGGAAGGCAGGCGCTTAAATTTTTCGTATTCTTAAATAGCCTAATTTTTTTATGTTTTTAATGGGTTCAAACAGACTGAGTAGATTATTTCTCAGTTAGAGCAGGATGAATATTCTTTATTGAAGGAAATAATATTGCTTTTTGCAAATACACATCACCGTATCAACGCTACTATTTTGTTACGTTTTGTTCCAAAAATGTTGCATGTCTCTGGGGAGTTGCTTAATTGTTATGTCTTATGGAGTTGTATGGTTTGATTGTGTTTCATATAATTCTCAGTTTACTCCATGAACTTGCCAAGATTAAGAAACGGCAAAAGAGTTTGGGTGTTCTTAACAAGATTTCAGAACGTTGCAGAAGTTAGAAGAGCTTCACAATTCCGTTGTGACAGCATGCCCTAATTCAGAACTACGAACGATCCAATGACGATCCTTCGCGATGCAGTGGTCTCATGAAATAAGGAAACGTATTCGTGCTAGGAACACACGCGAATTTCGGACGAATGAATCTTGCTTGTATTTTGTAGATATAATAATACTTTGTTTCATAATAACCAATTTGTCAAGTGTCATTTATTTACTGGTAATAGTGCATGTTTCAGTCGGGCAAATCTTGATTAATATTTGATACGCCGATTTTTGCATATTTCAGACACATCCAGAAATATCCTCCCGAATTTAAAGATTAATATCTCAGTGAATTTTTAAGTGAAATACAACTGTAATACATCAAAGTCTAAGTTAGTCCTTCCTCTATTTGATGCAAGTTATTTCTCTTTAAAAGCTATACTTGTTTAGATGTTATTACGAATCAAACAGGAGTACTTTTTTTTGGGCCACCCGGTAGTATCCCAATTAACGAAGGGATGAAAATACCAGTTCGAATTACAACATGCACCTGTAATCTGAAAGCAAAGAAGAAACCACTTACTCATTTAAACTTGATTGAAATACCCATGAACAAAAAATCTTTAAAAAAATCTCGCCCCAGTTAGAATCACCAAGCTACCAAATTTTTTCCTCTCTAATGTGAGGACTATAATATTACGTAATAAAGTGGATGACTTGGATTTAGTTCTGAAAATGAACGAAGTAGATCTCGCTGGAATAACAGAGACTTGGTTAAATTCAATTATTCTTGATAGCTGTGTAAACATTCAGGGCTATAACTTAGTTCGAAACGATCGCACTGAGAAACGGGGTGGCGGAGTTTGCGTGTTTGTGAAGTCTTCAATTCCTTTCGTGACGCTTCCAAATCTTGGCTGTCCTAACCATGAGTGTTTGTGGGTAAAACTTAGACCTTACCGACTTCCAAGAGAAATTTCATGTATTATTGTTTGTGTGTTATACAATCCACCTCTTGCAGATAATAACGAACTATATGAGTACATTATTGTCTCTTTAGACAAAATATTATTACAATACCCTGGAGCAGGAGTCATCGTCATGGGCGACTTTAATCAGTTTGACACTAAACGTCTTTGCAGAAATTCATCTCTCAAACAAATTGTTAAGAAACCAACCCGTGGAATAGCGACTTTGGATTTAATACTTACCAATATAAAGCGTTGGTACAAAGATCCAGATATTCTTCCCGCTATTGGTCAATCGGATCATATGTCAATTATGTTATATCCACTTGAAAACCCCGTCGTACCAACACAACTACCAAAGTTTGGGTTAGAAAGCGAAATCCATCAAATATACAGCCTTTTGGTCGCTTCCTCTCAAATCTGGATTGGAGTGTACTTTCCCGATTATCTTCTTGCCAAAGTATCTGTGATCTGTTCTATGACATCATTCTCATGGGCCTGGATACTATTATTCCCCCAAAAGCAGTCAGACTCCACTGTAGAGATAAAGCATGGATTACACCTGAAATAAAATCGCTTATTTCCCAAAGACAAAAAGCACTTAGCTTGGGAATAAAGCTGAATACAACAAATTAAGGAACAAAGTTATTCGTGTTATCAAAGAAATGGTGGAGTGCAATAAAAAATTTAGTTGGCTCTTCTTCAAAACCAGTTTTTAATTCTGTTGAGGCTGATGGAATCATCTTACAAAGAAGAGAATTAGCGTCCGCAGTTAACGATGCATTTATTGCTGCCACCAAATCATTACCTCCGTTATCGGAATATGAAAAAAATACATGTCGAAGAGTCTAGTGTCCCATACACCATCTCTGACATTACTATTGAATCCCATTTAAAGAAAATCCAATCCAATAAAGCACCTGGTCCAGATGGCATACCAAACTGGATTCTCAATACGTTTTCCATGGAGCTCTCTGAACCTGTGACAATTATATTCAACACCTCTATTAAACAGGCACAGTCCCAAGGCAGTGGAAAGAGGCGGATGTTATTCCTGTCCCAAAGCCAACCCCAGTAACGGATATATTCTCAGATCTTCGACCTATATCACTAACTGCTACACTGTCAAAAATTCTTGAGTCGTTCCAATTTCGAAGGATCATGGATACTATTCATTCGACATTGGATCAAAGACAATTTGGTTCATTAAAAGGATATTCCACCGTGGATGCGTTAATTAGCATGTTCCATTGTTGGTTTTCAGATACAGATGGCAATGGCGAAACCGTACGTGTTTTTCTATTAGATTTTAGTAAGGCATTTGATAGAATTAACCATCAAATCCTCATAAAAAAGATGCGATTACTCGGCATTGATAATTCTCTAATTAATTGGGTAATTGACTTCCTCATGTAAAGAGACAGAGGGTGAAATTGGGGTCTGTGTCATCTGATTGGGAATTTGTAAATGGCGGCGTACCGCAGGGTACAATTCTCGGCCCGCTTCTTTTTCTTATAATGGTTAACGACTTAGCCGTCACTCACAACAACCGATGGAAATATGTTGACGATACCAGTCTTTCGGAAACAATCATTAAAGGTAAACAAAGCCATTTACAAACTATTATAGACGATATTGAGAAATGGTGTACAGAGAATGATATGGTACTTAACCACGCCAAATGTAAGCAGTTGATTATTTCGTTTGCTAAAGATACACCGAACATTCGTCCATTGTTTGTTGGAGAACATTGTATTTCCCGGGTTTCGTCAGCAAAAATCCTTGGTATTATTTTCTCGTCTGATCTTCATTGGAACTTGCATATTGAATACATCGTAGCAAAAGCATCAAAGAGACTATACTTTCTCCGAGTACTTAAACGAAGCGGAGTTGGAATGAATTCTCTAATCCAAGTATTTTTTACATGTATACGGCCTATCCTTGAATACGCATGCCAGGTTTGGGACTACGGTGCTCCAGATTATTTAAAAGAAGAAGTTGAAAGAATTAAAAAACGCGCCTTGCGAATAATACATACCGATCTATCGTATCGGGAAGTTATGAAACTTAATGGAATTCAATCACTTAGTCAAAGAAGAAATGATATATGTATGTCATACTTCAAAAAACTTCTTCACCCCAACCACAAGTTGCACGAACTCGTTCCTGATAGACGTGAGAACTTAGTCAATTATACTCTTCGTAATGATAACCATGTCAATTTAATTGACTGTAAAACTAATAGATTTCGAAATTCATTTTTACCTACAAGTATTTTAGCTTATAATGACTCATTATCATAATATTTAGACGTTTTAACGATTTTTAAAATTTGCATGGTAGTAACATATAGTATTACGTAGTTATAAAAAATTTCATGTAGTATATGTTATTAAGAGTCCTCTTACGAATTATGTAATTAATTATGTATATTTCAGCTTTTAGCTGCTACTCAGATTAACATTTCATTAAATACAAATACATTTATACAGACATTCAGAGTGTTTTTTAACGTCCAACGTGGTGTTCGTTCAAGCCATTCGTAAATGCCCGGAAATTCAAGGTTTGCGTCTTCCCGGTGGCAAAGAAGTAAAAATCTCTCAGTATGCTGATGATAATACTTGTATCGTTACCAACACTTCTGGCATTTTTAAGGTTGATGTCTTTGACGAATACGGTCGAGCGTCTGGGGCGCGACTCAACAGAACTAAGTCAAAAGGTCTTTGGCTGGGCAGGTGGCGCTGTCGCACAGATTCTCAATGCGTGTTAGAGTGGGTTAACTCACGCCTTAAGATTGTCGCTGTTTAGTTCGGTGACAAAGGTGCGTGTTTGAAATCGTGGAAGGAAGTCTCGGCAAAGTTCATCGCGGTTATAAAGATATGGGAATCGCGGTTAGAAAAAAATGGGAATCGCGGTTTTTAACTTTACGTGGGAAGGTAACGGTGCTTGATCAATGACAACACGAAGCCAAATTGTGATATTCCGTCTCCATTTTACAGTCATCTCGTTCGTGTGTTGAAAGAATTCTCTGTCGACCTGAGCCAACCTCAGCAAAGCAAATTTTACTATGCTCGTCGTCTGCAAAATTGTGTTTCCCCGGTTCAAACGCGAAGCGAAGTGCATTGGAATCGGCGGTTAGGTCCGGGAGTGATTTGGAAAGATATCTGGAAAGAAATTGCTCACAGTATGAATGATCCAGTTTTGCGGGATTTTGATTGGCGGACGGTTAATCGTATCTTACCAGTAAATTCTCGAATGCATCAGTGGAATTCACGGTTACCTCCACGATGTGCTCGGAGTGGGGCTCAAGTTGAAACCTTAGAGCATGTTAGTTAGTTTCGTTAGATTCGTTAGATGTGTTGGTTGATTGTCCAAATAATAAAGATATGTGGATATTCATATTAAATTTGTGTCATCGAATTGATCCATCCGTGATTGGTTTCTCAGAGAAGAACTTATTTTTGGGCTGCTTTTCACAATGGGTGTCGAAGGATTTATTGCGTTACATAATGTGTGTTGGGAAATTTCCCGCTTGGAAAGAACGCGTTTCGGTGCAATTCAACAAGGATCAGAAAATTAACTGTGGGACATATTTCAAGAATTACGTTCGACGAAGACTTCGAATGGAACAATGCTTCATAAGAGTGGAGACTTTTATGTCAAAATGGTGTATTAATAATGTCTTGGCTCAGTGGCGGATCCAGCAAAGTTTTTTGTTGTTGTTTTTTTTTTGGGGGAGCTAACCAATGGCGAAACGAGCACCGAAGGCGCAAGATTTTTAAAATTTGGGTCTCTGAAATGGCATTTCCAGCATTCTGAGAAAACATTGTGGAAAATTTTTAGGATTCTCAAAACATTTAAAAATTCAGAATATTTAATATTGGCTATTCCGCTATTGTCACCCCCATGCAATTTTTTCTAAATCCACCACTGTCTTGGCTTGTGTAAGGGACGATAATATTCAGATTTTGATATAGAACAATAAGTGTGTTTTAAGGTGACAATATGTGTGTTTCGTTGTGTGTTCACAATTGTGTAAATATTTGATTCCCCATAGCGATTTTCGTTATGTGGGCTTTCTATTTAATATTTCCGTAGAGGAGAAGAAAAGAATGAGTCTATAGACATTTTTTCCTGGCTTGGCTCACGAGCTGAGCCGATTAATTAAGTGACACAAGCAAAAAAGCGTCATCAAACCAAGAACTGTATGTATGCATGCGCAATTATCAATTCGAATTTCCGATCTTAACTACAACATCACAAACATCATATTCACATGCGTACATAACACCAACACAGAAAAAAAATACTAAGACTAAATTAGCTTCAATTATCCTACCTTAATTATCATACCACATGCTTCCGCAATTATTTTCAGCTATAAATACCAAACTTCGAGCAGGCAATTAATTAGCAAAACTCTGCTTCTCCTTCAGAATTTCATAAACGGACAAATCTTTCGCCTTTTACTGAAGATTTCCGTGGAGAAGTATTTCATAACTGGAGACAAGAAGACGAATGGAGAAGGAACCTTCTAGATGTGGTGGTGACGAAGCACTGGTCGTGGGAATCCTGGTGGCGCTGCCGGTGATGCTCTTGCTGCTCCTGGTGGTGGTGCTGCTGCTAGTGGTGGTGATGCAACCCGCGGTAGTGGTCCTGCAAGTGCTGGTGGTGCACGTCGTGGTAGTGATGCTAGTCGTGGAGGACGTGGTGATAGTCGTGGTACTGGTGGTGCAAATCGTAATGGTGATGCAGGTCGTATTGCTGATGATGCAAATCGTGGTGGTGCTGATGCACGTCGTGATCACTGCATGAAAAGCGACGTATTCCGAGGTATTCACATGTCTACACGGGTTAGAAGAAAACGCATATTGCATCAGTATTCTGACGTGGAATATTAGTGTGAATACGGAATAGTATTGCAAAATATTCCAAGCGTGAATATGCTGTGAATATGACACATATTCCACCTAATATTCACACTTGGATTATTATAATCTCATCTCATACGTTTTTCCACAAGATAGTTTCTAAAGTTAAACATTCCTTTGAATGCTTCAGGTTGAAAGTGGAATAGATAACAGCATAACCCTACTGCAATTTATGATGGAATTTGATGATCCATGCATATTATGTTTAGCCAATAACTAGGTAAAATACTTGAAAATTCCCTCTCTACTTGGATATCTCATATCTCCATATCAAAAACCAAACAGATTAATACCGCAAGAAGTCGTGGATAAAATTATATTATAGTACTATTTATTCATTTTGTTATCTCGTGCATGTATCGTATGTATACCGTAATTTCGTACGAGCGGTTATTTTGCTCTCAAGTGCGGCGTTATCAAATCGGGGGTGTCGCTCAAATGAGTAAATACGATATGTCCTTGTAATGATGTAAACATTTTAGTCATTATGCATTCCCTATAATAATTAAAACTTTATAGAATCATACGATTGAAAAGAAATAGTATTTTTGGGCTGTTGCATGGTTCAAACCATTTCACTCTTAGGCCCCGTTTTCATGGCACCAGACAAATTTCTATCCCGATAGAAACCTGTATACTGATTGCAATGCCGGCCTATCACAGGAAATTTCCCCCCCTCCGAAAATTTGCCCCCCCCCCTAAACAGAAATTATAGTTTACTTTATCAGTAGGCTCAGAAATTTTTATAATACTTAAAATGATACGGAATGTTTTGTTAGTCATTCAAACCTTCGTGCTTTTGTGTGTGCGGAATGTTTTTGTGAGCCATGACGCATGCAGTCTACTTTTGTTTTTACAGAATGCTTTTGTATTATGTAATGTCTCTCAACCACATGAGTGATTATATATACTGTGTATATGTAAATAAAATGCATAGGAAAAGTTTTTTTTACGAAATAACCACTCATTTCCACGTAAAAGTCTACTTTTACCCTAATGCTAATTACTCCCTGTTATTTATTAGACGCGTACATATTAACATATTCGCCAACGCATGATGTCATCGTTTGCTAAAGTGCGGTTGTTATTCTGACTAATTTTATACTCCAAAAATCGTTTCGTGTCCTTAGCTTAAAGCTAACTCCATTATGCATTAATGTCGTCCTCTACAGATAACCATGTGTGATGTGTCTGGCATGACTGCACTAGCACATTATTATTATTACGCCTTCCTTCAAACTTTTTGCTCTTGGCCGCAATGAAGAATTTCGACACAAATAAATTATGCAAACTAACTATAAATACTGACAAACACTTTTAGGATCTTGGTTTTAGAAGAAGCTTCACGATTTCCGAGCTTATAGCGATAAAGTAAACTATGTTTTCGAGGGGGCCAAATTTCCGAAGGGGGCGCCAAATTTCCTAGGAAATTTGGCCCGGGAGGGCAAATTTTGGGGGGCCAAATTTCCTGGGACACCGGCATTAATGAGACTGCATTGGTTACCGGTTAAATACCGTGTTATATTCAAGATCGTACTGTTGGTTTATAAAGCTCTACATGGATTGGCTCCCAAATATATTCGTGACATGTTGACTTATAAACAAAGTAATAACTACTCTTCGAGATCGGACGAAGTAGGGCTTCTTCATGTTCCAAGCGCACGTAGAAAGTCTTTTGGTGATCGTGCCTTTTTGAAAGCAGGACCTACTCTATATATGGAACTTAGTACCGTGTGAGATTCGGCTTTCACCTTCGTTGGATTCTTTTAAGACAAATCTTAAGACATTTTTGTATAGAGATGCGTACATTCAATAAAACTTCTTGTTTTTAAATATTTTTAAATAGATGCTTATAGTAGTTAAATGTTGTGTAAATAACGTAGGGAAATTTTAAAATTAGCTTCCTGTTTCATGTAATTAAGCGCTTTAGAATATTCTATAGTTTTAGCGCAGTACAAATTAATAAATTATTATTATTATATACATAGACGGCACAAATATACATCTACGCACCATACACTTTTACACTGTACTCAGTTAAATAATGCATTTGGAGCTTACCTGGCTTTAAGAAATAAATGACTTTAAGAAAGAGATATTCGACAAGATCCAGTTCAAGTGAATGAAGACGTTCTAATGCTACTTTCAATGCACCTATATGGAGGGGCTTGTTGTCGTCATTACATGTTACATCACGTGACTGTCCTATGAACGCGAGAAGACTTTCGATAAGCTGAGGATTCCGGGAAATGTCGAGGATATAAAGTTCACTCCAAGATTGATCCAACAACAAAACCTGAAATACCGGGTAAATATCTTGTTATAGAAATATTTGTGTGTGAAAATAGTCCGTGGAAAAGGATCTTTCAAAACCGGCGAATAACCCGTCTTTAATTCACAACGACCCCTGATTCAATCACAGGGATCCCGACTATGTCCTATTTAATATATCATTGTTAATAATTCATGAAGAGAACACAAAAGAAATCATGAGCGTGAAGGAGTTTGCATATCTGATACAAAATCATGCTGATTTACACAAACTTTAAGTTCAATTTTCTCACCAAATACCACCAATTTACTTTAAATTGTTGAAGAATACGAATAATTTTAAATTGTTGAAGAACACGAAGAATACGACAAGACGTTTCACTCCCCTCCGGCTCGAGTTTGTATATCCGATACAGCACGACCGTTCATGTTGTAAATATACACAAGTTATCAATTAATACAAACATGCCATACATATTAATCCCCATATACAGTATATATCAAAGCAGTCAGTGTAGAAACACGGGAGGCGAGTACAGCCAATTGCAGTTGAGCTTGCAGCTTGCATTTTAAACGCGTTTTGCATCGTTGAAAAGTATGCGTTCATTCCTTGGAAACACGCCGTTGCTAGGGGCGTAACGTGAACTTTTGGCGGGCATTGTAACGGCGTAAACATGTTTTTCTATTCTTGGCGTTGACGAATTAAATTAGATTTTGTCACAAAACCGACCAGGGAGTTCTAATTTGACTGCAGGCATTCTAAAAATACCTTACTGTTCCGTCGCAGGCTTAAGCAGCGTTTTTACAATATATTTAACTCGTTATACGTTTGTTTGCACGCCGTTCAGAAGTTCAACAATGCCCGCCAAAAGTTCACGTTACGCCCCTAGCAACGGCGTGTTTCTAAGGAATGAACGCATACTTTTCAACGATATAACAACGCGTTCAAAATGCAAGCTGCAAGCTCAACTGCAATTGGCTGTAATGTGCCTACAGTTATATGGAGGTTAGGTATGGATAATTATGTTTATTATTTATTGAAAATAATTCAAGAGTTTTGATTGGCTATGAGCTGTCGATGAAATCGTCATGTCCGCTCGGTAGCAGCCCAAATTTGGAGTTATGACATCACCTTGGAATATTGAAAACAAATATACCACGTTTGACGTAATTTTGTGGTATAATAACAAACAATGTAATTTATGCGACTTATGCCAAAAGCGGGAAAATACAAATAGCTTCCTCAAACAATTGTGAAAATTTTATTTGTTTTACAAATAAATAATAAAACAATTACTGAATTCGGTTCTCGCAGGATATGAGGAATTATTAAGGCCTTAGTTTGTGTCATCTGCCCCAGCCTTTGGCTTCGACAAGTAACACAAATTCCTCATTTCCTACTCGACCTCATTCATTATATTAGGACATAGTCGGCACTGTGTTTCTCTATCCGCGCATGCGTGCATATTTAGCTAAGGTATTTCATGCCCTAACATTGGTTTGTTTCTAAGACAAGAGACAAACGGTTTATTGACATGCAGAAATGAGAGAAACTTTTATACCTGATCGTTAAAGCAAATGCCAAGGTAATTGGACAAATTTTTAATCCACCCAACACTTTTGAATAACAATCTTGCAACAATTTCACTGAACATAGCTGGATCACACAACCGCTGTGATGAAGCATCAAATATATCATAATTGAAAACTGGTACTATATTTAAATCTGGTTCAGCTGAGCGTAATTTGATAATAAATGTCTCCAAACAAACATACTCTGGTTGGAATGAAGAAGTTGAACTCTCGATTATTTTCTGACGAAGAAGCTTTTGTGTCTGAATGACAGAATTTCGTGGGCCACGTTCGTGTTGAACAGCTATAGTAAATTATTTGATAGTAGAAAGTAAATTAAATTCATTATGCCTGACATTTTACAGCTTTAATAGAATGTAGGATTTTACTAAAACAATGAAGAACTGATCGGCAAGAAACGTCATTTCATTTCGGCTAAATTCTAACCGTAAATGCAAGAGGGAACGCTTGAATTTAATGTAAACATATATAATTCAACCACGTTTTAAACTTAATGTCCTTAAAACTAAACTGCCTTTTATCGATAAACTTTGTAATATCATGATCACCTCGAATTGTTCTGAAAGGGAATGTAAATCCCGTATTTGAAAACAAAAGATTTCTTTGTCTTCCCCTCCCTGCATGCCTTGATGAGGGAAAATTAGAAGACAAAGAAATCTTTTGTCTAGTTTACTAAATTTCCCGGGGAAATCAGTTAGAAGACAAAAGCGTACCCCAATTACCTCTCATTGGAGAGCTGTACCTCATCGAAAATCATCGGCGCAACTATGGACAGTGTCTGACGACACCGTCCCAGTTTTTATTCCGCAATCTTGAACATTTCAATTGTGGGATAAAATTCGGTTTATGCGCATGCCTAAAAAGAATGAACACGGAGATGTGTTTCTGCGCGTGCGTATATATGAAAAGTGTTCATCCTACAGTCATAAGACAATCAAACAGCACGCATGATACCCTCGGTGATCATAATATTACCGAAACTAATAACATGAATAGTCGGGAAATTAGCGATTAAACTGCCCTTCCGTTCGCCTCGGGATTCGGGAAGATTTGTGATTTAAAGTCCTCGGACTTTCACAAATCTTCCCTCAGCGTCAATTTAATCGCTAATTTCCCTGTAGTCATGTTATTACTTATAATAATGTGAGTTTGAATAATGTGAGTTTGAAATCAAAATTCATTTTCAAATTCTCGCATGAAAATAACTTTGCTCTCCTCTTTATTAGTTTAATATTTTTAACAATTCAAAATAATGAAAAAGAGTAATTTCATCTATGCCGGGTAATTTATACTGAATACGCTGTCTTTTTTTCATTATATATACGCAACATCTCAGTTTTTTAAACTGATAATTTAAACAAACAATACATCAACATTTAAAACAAACTTGCCGCCTTAGATTTCCCCCCGCAACGGCATACTCCTTTCACTCATGAACTTCGCTCAATAATTTTGAGATCAGTGAGGAGGTGCACCCTTGAATCATAGGCATAGCCACGCACCCGCGATTATTGATGAACTTTAGACTTCGCTAAATGCTTTCCTTTCCCCGGGTGTAAGTAGCCGTGCGGAATTAGTACCCTCTCCCGGGCTTACGCACAGAACAGCGCTACGCGCCGTTGGCTCGTGGACAAGGAAAAACAATTTGGGGGTCGGGCCTCTTCTCCGCACAGGTTTCTGTTGGCTATGATTACGATTACATTTCACTACACTTTACATGGCGGATCTTGGAACATGCACCAACGGAGCCCGCTGGGCGAAGGAGCGCAGGCGGTAAAGAGCGAAGCCTCTGCGGAGGAGAGAGGGGTCGGACATTTTTACAAACGTTGGGCAAGTTTTTGGCCGCTCCCCTAATTTTTCCTCCCGTACGCCTATGGCCTTAAACAACAGTCTAGCGCGTTTGATATTGTTTTCTCAATCTGCTCAAGACAAAGATCCCTTTTACATTTTGATCAAGGTTACTGAATAAACAAAATAATTCCGGGTCTTCAGAACTCAAAGATGCCGCATGGAAGATTAAATTAATATAATGGGGTGGGAGAGGAAACAGAAAAAACTATATTTTCAGGATCAATTATTTTTTATTGTGTTTCATTGTCTATCCTGCACATGCGAAAATTTGTTTCACATACATAATATATTTTTAAATTTGTCATTCGGAAGAAGAAACAAATATTGAATAAAGCAAACATAGCAACATTTTCACTTAACACGAGTTAATATATTGATATACCAGTATATATGCTTATGTAGATCTGAAGTAACGAGCGTCAGTACAGTTAGTCCTAATACCCTTCTCATGCTTTTCAATGTTTACTTTTGTCTGATAAGTTTTGTTACATGCACCCACTTGCACTACACGGCTAAAAACGCTGAACCCGCTGTTTAACAGGATTGAACAATGTTTTGCTGCCCACGTTGTTCACACTTGTCAACAATATTGAACAATATTGTAAATTGAGCCTGAATTGGGTGTAACAACATTGTTCAACATTGTTGACAACTGTGAACAATGTGGACAGCAAAACATTGTTCAATCCAGTTTTCATCAATATTGCAACAACCTGAGCGTTTTTACACGTGTACCAAATATTACAGTAATTCCGCTGTTTGCAACAGAGTTGCCGTGTACAATTCTCTGCAGAGACCGCCCAGTTGTTCAGTGACCTCCGTGGTGAATTTTCCTAAGCGTTGGACAAAATTCAGAAGTGAATGCTTTAATGACGTGCACCTGTCAATCGCCCCTTCGAAACACAGATTTAATGATCTGACATTGTTGGAAATTTACGCTTAACGCGGCGGCTATACATTTAAATCATTCGTTAATTGTCCAGTCTTGGCTGCTGACTTATAAATTCTAGAGAATTAAAAAGTTCATGCAAACTTTTCGCCAATGAATTGACATGATATGATCCGAAATGCAAAAATATAAAAGACTTTGCAAACAAATATCAAAGAAAAGATCAAATATCCGGATATAATGAAAATAACGACACTTGACAAAGAGATTTATAATTGTTTCATTTTTGTAAAGATTGATAAGAAATATCATAGCCATAGGGTTCTTATCACGACTTTGACTGACCGGGAAACGAAACTGATACACGCAATGTATGTTTTTACTTTTGCGTGACAGAAATAAGGTCGATGAAATAACGAAATGTACGTTTGAAAAGTTTTGTGAATATATAATAAAAATCAGGTATAACGAGCACTTAACTCTTGACAACAATTATTAATTGATGAAAAATTTTAAAATTTTTATCCAACAAGGAACATGATGGGCAAAGTCACTAGAACAAAGTCATCGCTGGGAATAAAGTTGCATGAAAAAATAAAAAGTCAATATACAGTATGTACTTACCATCTTTATTCATATTAACCTGAAAACAACGCTTCAACCTGCACGCCCGACATTGATTTCTGTGTAATTTATCGACAGGACAGTTGCCTTTGCCCACCACAGCCTGACATGTATATCTTCGCTTACGACGAATACTTCGTTTGAAGAAACCGCTACAACCATCGCAAGCATATATACCATAATGCTTTCCGGTTGAGAAATCCTGGCAAACTTCACATAAGATGTCCAGAGTACGCCCTAGCAAAGAAAACTAATAAATTAGCACTAAAATCAGGCGTAAAGATTAAACCAGAAAGTTGCGAATTTAGAATCCATGCCATGCACAGTAACTTTCCGACGAAGAGTCTTCGCTCGAAGCGTCGAAGTTTTACTTGTATTTTTCAGGCAGTTGAATCCTTCTCAATCCGGTGTTATTGTCACTGACTGCCTACGCTGGCACAGACCGTAAAGATTAAATGTTTAAAAGTCAATACATGCAGTAAGTCTTGTAGTTTAAAGACAGTATACCATTTTGCTTTTGTAACGAATCGTTTTCATTTCTGTCAGCATCCATTGCTGCTACACCGTGGAAACAAATGATTTGTGACGATGCTTAACTGCCTCTAACTGCTAACCAACACTATCTTAATTTCGTTCAAAACTAATTTCTAACGATATAATAAGTGTGCCTGATGCGATCAGATTAAATATGTAAAGACGTCATCGACTGCAATTTGATTTCCAATTGGTTGGTAAAATCTGATAAGTATTCGATTGAGATCGTTAGTGTTGCTAGATTAATTTCTATTTTTAGTCTCTAAAACATTGTACATTGTACATTTTGGAAACTTTTATACCAAGTAACAGAAATACTCAGATAAAAGCAAGATAAACATAATTAAACAATCATGTTACTAAATATGTACGTGGAAATGAATGACAGATCAATAAAATGCCAGTGTAGAATTGAATTACCCAATCATGCGTTTATCTATTCTTCTCTCTAAAAAAATCACATAGTCGGAAGACTTTGATTTATTTTGTCAGTTTTTTAAAAATAGTATACAATATAAATTTAGCTGGCATAAATATTTGAAGAATGAAACACTAAAACAGATTAAAATACAATTAAAAACTGCTAGTCAAGCAAAACAAGCCAAACAAGCAAGAACATCATAACTGGAGCATGCAAGAGTAGTTTATCAAACGGCTTCGTAAACTCAATTTGCAGATCCACAGCAAGGCCACATGAATCAAATTAAGAAGAATGGAAGTGGACTTGAAATGTTACATATTTTTTATCTGAATTCCTGTGTTTAGATGGCTAATTTTAAAGCATGTTTCAAAATGTATGATACCCAGTATCAACTTCCATCTCATTCGTTGTATCATCCTGCCACCGTATCTATTCGCCTCAGAAACTAGTTGCTTTGGGAAATGTCAAGATCAAAATCTTGAACAACTTCTACTTGACCGATGTTCCTGAGATAGACGAATGTGGCCAGTCTTTCTTCCAGATCTATGGTTCCACTTCCAATATACTGTAGAGGCGAACGCTCCCAATCCTGAGTGACATTTTCCAATCCGGCTTTTCATTCGTCATCATGCTGTCCTGGTTTCGTCTGGAGCTCATGCTAGGGATTCATGGAGCAGAGCAATGCGAGATTATCTTGTGTCGTGGCGAACTTCCACTTGACGCCATCCTCTCCATTTCCTACTGTTCCCTTCATGATGCAATAAATGACGAGCAGGAACAACGTACAGGCTGGATATGTTGCGTACTTGTTACCCTGTTCTACTCCTATCCTGATCTTGTACCAGTCCGTATGATGTCGCCTTCATCAATCCTGCGCACTCAAAGTTATGCAGTATATGTTGTGATAATCATCTCAGGTATGCGGAATGACTTCCAACAATATTTTGAATCAATATTTGTTTGTTTGAATACTTCTCGATATCTAAACCGCATTGAGATACTGAATACCGATTGTCCTACAATCTGAAGCCTCTGATTCTAGTTTTAAAGGCTTTAAACTCGTCACTTGACCTTCCACACGCGAACGAGAAAGAAATGGGCGATCATTGAATAAAAAGCGATATATTCGTAAGAATTTCGTCCAAGATCTAGAATCACTAATATATTTAATTAATGATTATTTAAATAGGATCCAACATACCTACTGCATGACTAACTTGGATCATCCCTCCAAGTCAGATTTCATGACCCCTCTGGCCTCTGTCCCCAATTCAATGTTGCCGAACAACTCCCAAAGAACTTTTGGTAATTCAACATTGAGTCGGGCGATTGATCAATTAAAAGAGCAGGGTGTTCAGGTGCGCCCAAAATATGGGGATGCGGATGTTGTTTTCAATACATTTTAGTCTTTAGCGTCATGCAACGAATAACAAAAATTAATATATATTGGCTACAAGTAATCAAGTATCCGTACAGCAACAAAAGTAAGTGCTCTTGACTTTACACATTGGTTTCGGCGCGCCTGAGGAGGTTTATCAACAAAAAACTAGGGTACCTGCAAGGTATAGGGATTGCTGCGGGCATTGAAAGCAAATAGAACTACAGTAAATAGCACAAATTATATCAAGCACAGTTCAGTTAATCGCAGCGACTATATGAGCTGTGAGCTTCACGCCTTAATAATGGCGTAAGGAATTGATTCTTACCACAGGGACCGTGGAGCCCGTTTCAAAAGTGTGTGTGGGGAGAGGCAGGATTGCACGGGAGCTATTCCACGCAGGCAGGCTGGATTTTATCCGGTAACTGTTTTATTATCCACTGAAAAAGTGGGGGAGGGGCCTTGGCCCCGCCCCCCCTGTTCCGCGGTCCCTGTACCATGAGTGACAGATATTAAACATGTGCGTCTCATTGACATGCAGGTAAATTAATGACTGATATAATACAAGTTTTTGCTATCAGATTTCATATCAAGTCTGTTTACTGCCAGGCGCATTTCGGCACATTATATACACTGATTTATTACACTAAGAAACCAAAACTTTATAGTAATATAGTGACAGTGGCCAAAGTCCATTCCGTGAACAACGCACGAATCGATGCAAAAAGAACGAAGAATTCGGAAGCCGGACGGCCGAAGGTTAAAACGTCCAAATTCGAATTAAGGATAAAATTGGATAAAAGAAAGAAACGTATCTGATTATCAAAATATTTATCAACATATGTTTTCATAAAGCAAAGCAGAACTATCTTGCTCCGAAATTGTGCTGAACAGTGAACTGAATCAATGTAACGGCTAGTAAGCCTTTGCATGTCTTAATGAACGCAAGGTTCCACGGCGTGAAACACCACGGAAAAATAGCTTACTGCGTATTTCCGATCGCGCATGACCACAATGCACTGCGCTAGAATGTTTTGAGATAAAAATCCCCATCTACACAACTCGCTCGCTTCAGCAGCAATCAGATGTCCAAGGTTGTAGCCTCAGGCCACTTTGCCAAACGTTTAAAAGTTCAGGGTTAGCATGCCCAGCTTGAAGATGGGTTTTTAAATTTACGTACTTCCGGTTGATTCGCGTATCAAAATAAAAAGTTCGTCGCAAGTCAACTTTTGAGCGTATTAACCAATCAACATTGCTAAATTTTGAATTTAAAATTTGTTTTGATACGTGTCGGTACGTTACGCTTGAAGTGGAAAACGGCCTTAAAGGAAGAAAATTATGGAACTTGATACCTGGGATATGGGTTGATATATTGGTTGATATTTGGTCAGTATGGGAAGGAGGTAGGCCTTTCCCGATTGCGCTGGTAAAATCCTAAAAAAGTGCCGGCAAAAATGGCTAAAAAATGCTCAAAATCTCTAAAAAGTGCTAAAATTGTGAACAGTTACCTCTAAGATTTTCGTAATTTTTTAAAAATCAGCATTTTTTTAAATCTGTTTCCACGTTTTTATATGGAGCAAACGTCCGCATATGCAATCTCGTTCCCCGAGCCTGCGATCGTCGGGAACGAACGTGGGGCTCTGCCGATAATCCGTTGCCGGAAGCCAGGAATCCTGGCTAAGACCGAACTGCGCATCCATGGATATCAACGGCCAATCAGATTCCTCCCTGAAACGGATTATCTCAGAGGCTCACGTTCCTTCCCGAGGATCGATCGCAGGCTCGGGGAACGAGATTGCCGTATATGGAGTCGGTTTACGACAAAGAGAACACGCATAGGCGTACCGGGCGGGGCAATCGGGCAGTCGGGCAATATTCGATTAACAGTCGGGCAATTTTGGTTTTTGGAAAATTTGTGATGTTCCGAAAAATTTTGGTATGTCCGGAAAATTTTTTTGACCCCTTAAATGGTACACTGACCGAAATTTTTTTGGCGACGGGGGGGGGGGTCGCCAAAATAATTTTTCCGGGAAAAATTTTTCGGTACTAGTCGGGCACAATCAGGAAAAGTCGGGCAATTTTACGAAAAGTCGGGCAATTTTCTTTCCGCCCCCCTAATTTTTTCCTTCCGGTACGCCCATGACTGAACGCGAAAAAGTCAGCGTTCTAATTTTTTAACCGTAATGTCATATGCAGCTGTACGGCTTTTCTTTAAACCTTACACCGAATTGTATGTTTAGTTAATCGAGGTACGAATCGAATTCTATAATCGCTGACTTTTTGTTGCTCGAAATTCGCTCGAAATGTAAAATATTGCTCAAATGTTGCCCAAAGTGCGAAGAAGTGCTCAAGGTTGCTCAACATGCAAACTACTGCTCCAAACTAAAAAAAAGTGCTCAAAAAGTGCTCAGCGCAATCGGGAAAGGTCTAGAACATAGAAATAATAGACATAGAATGCGTGCTCCTATCTTTTCTCAGTAAAAAATTTTTCTCCACAAAATGGCGCATTGAAAAGGGCATTTTGGTTGGTCCCAGACTCCTGAGGCAGGGAATTTCGCGCGGTTGCACGAAGTGCGAATTATTTTTTCAACTGAAAATTTTGCAAAAAATTTTATATCGGGACTTAAAATGGAAAAAAAGTTTGGTAAACTAAGGAAAAGTGTCTAAAAACCCATTCCAGTGGGTTTTTTTACGAAAATGTCTATTATTTCTATGGTCTAGAAGGAGCTAGCCTGCGTGCAGGCCCAAGGGAACTGATAGCGGAAAGGGCAGAGCAAGGGTCGGGCAGTCGCCAGAGGGCAGTCGCAGAGCCTGGGTCAAATTAATGACGTCATTAATGGAATGTTTATGTTCATATTTAATATTTCACTCGCAAATTGTGTTTATTGTGAGTGTTTTTAGTTTTTATTTATTTACTGCACCAAACTAAACTATGTTCTTACGGACAATTTACAGAACTTCATTGAACCATGTAAACAAGGCTAGAATTCCAATAATAAGGTAAAATATGGCTACAGTTCAATTTGATTCTTATATTACATATACATTTCTCTCAGGGGTGTCAGCCTCACGTGGCGTTCATGCAACTTCAAAATCTGGATGTATGCTCTGAAAGTGAACGAAAACGACTAGAACGAGTTTGTGTTAGTGAGATCACTCATTTCTTAATATGTTTATGTTTAGATCGCCTGTGATAGCTTTAACACAACAAGATAAACGACATGTTGCCACATCACAACATGTGAGTATTGTATTTGTACCGTAATTGTATGCTGTTAAAATTGCCAGAATAAACATGATTATTTTCATTGTTTAGCCCTTGTTGCTCTGTTAGGTGTGATAGGCTATTCGTCTTTTTTTTATACAACCCTAGAAAGCTTTATATTTAGAAAGTGTTAACAACTTAACATTCTTCTAGAAATTGTTGAACAACCTATACTATATAGTTTGTTCTACTTTGTTGACCTTTGGACTCTATAGTCGTTTCGTACCATACCATAACAATTATCACTTTAATATTTACTGAGACCAAGGGAAACAGTCTGTTTTGTGGACCCGAGACCGCCCAACAGCGGTCGAGTAAATAAGTTCCCAAGGTCTCAGTAAATAAGTGTTTTGTTATATAGTATATAAATTAATGTTTGAGTATGCATCCACACCGGGATGTGCGAAGAAGTCCAATGCTCTGCCAACTGAGCTATGTGGTCAAGTCGGTTCAACTGAATCTAGTTCCTTCGATATCAGTGTAATCTATGATTTTATTTTTGTGTGTGTGTTGGTGTTATGTACTCAGGTGAATATGATGTTTGTGATGAGTATGCATCCACACCGGGCAAGCTGACACCAACACACACACACAAAAATCAAATCATAGATTACACTGATATCGAAGGAACTAGATTCAGTTCCGAAATATCAACAATTCGAACTGACTTGACCATGTAGCTCAGTTGGCAGAGCATTGGACTAGTATCCCAAAGGTTGTGGGTTTGATTCTCACCATGGCCAAGCAAACTTTTCAGCTTGCCCAGTGTGAATGCATACTCAGAGTAAGTGAGTAACATCACAAACATCATATTCACCTGAGTACATAACAACAACTGCACACACACAAAAATAGTATATAAGTGTCAAAGTATGAATATTAATTCACCGGTTATTGGAGTGAACTTTGAAACCAAAACTAGATAAATGGAATGCCTTAAATATTTAATAAAAAAGTTTAATAAAATGAACTTTGGAACTTCACGGTTGACGTTAATGCTCACTACACCCATTCTATTGTGAACCGGTCAATAAATGTTCTATTATATGGACTGGTTGCCTCATTTCCAGGGCAATGCAGTAAACATGACGTTTTGCGGACCGACACGTGATACGCTTTTGTCCAATCACAAAACAGAAAAATTGAACTTTCATTGACACTAACTATATAACAACTCTTGTTGTTTTGTACCCAAACTCAGATTGTTCCGTAACTACAAAGATAAATTATTAATTAATTAAATGACATTGGTGACCAACATTTTTATTGCTTCATCTGAAAGAGCATGAAAAAATAAGCCGGTTGGCCTTTTAATGCTCTATTCTATCTCATCTAGTTCCGAAGTTATATGCAAAAATGTGCAAAATATAAATTGCTGATTCAGCACAATGTGTGACGCATTAGTTGGGTAAGTATGTGTATTGAATAGTAAACTGAAGCATAGCTCAGTTATTATGGGCCCAAATCAAATGAAATTTTGCATACTGATTGTACATGATGAGACGCATTGAAAAACGCTTCTAATTTTGTTGCCAAGGTAACAATGTCGTTCCCAGGCCCCTTGCGCCAATTTTATAAAACAGCTTTATTCATGGTACTCATAAGGTTAAAATAATATCAGAAGTATATGTACCATACTTATGCATGCCAAAAGTCTACTTGCATGATAATAATTCGAAAATGACATACACATAGATAAATGCAACTAGTTATTCAAAATCAGTGTAAGGGGCCTGGGAACGACTGTGTTGCCTTGACAACAAATTTATAAGTATTTTCCCATGCGTCTCATCATGTACTATCTGTATGCAAAATTTCATTTGATTTGAGCCAATAATAACTTAGCTATGCTTTACTTTACTATTCAATAAACATGTACTTACCCAACTAATGATGTCACACGTTGTGCTGAATCAGCAATTTATATTTTGCACATTTTTGCGTATACCTTCGGAACTAGATGAGATAGAATAGAGCATTAAACAGCCAACCGGCTTATTTTTTAATTAATATGCATTTTAATGGCACATCATCACAAAAAATTGAATTACAATATGCTTACAATAATAACATTATGATAAGTTATAAAGTTATAATAAAACTAAATGCTATATTTACAATTTAAAATTTAGATGCAAGAAATTAAGGTATATATTGCCATAGTTTAGAGGTTTAAAACAGATCGTCACAATGACATTTTTAAAACTCGAATCATACTTGGGAAAAAGCTTTTCTTAAAACATTCAGTTCTACATTTGAACGACGACCAAGTTGTCAAAATTACGTAAATTATAGTTCATGTTTTCTCTAGTCTGAGGTAAAAGATGAGATTGTAGTAGGTTACCATCAGTTATCTTTTTAATCATTCTTTCACACAAAGCATCGCGTCTCATCTAGACGAGGACAGTGGAGCTCACTCAAAGCTTCTCAGTAAGACCTACAAGGGTTGTATTCAGTTTTTCTGGACTCTTTCAAAATGGGATTTCCTATATTCCGATTTTTTCGTAAGGGTCAATTGAGTCAGCCAGATGAGCTGGTAGACTGTTATGCCACATAATAAAACAATAAGTACTCCAAAATGGAGCCAATGAGTGCATAGTAAATATGGATAAGTTTGTGAGGTGGAATTCCACCCCATTTAAGAACTCTAAGGATATGGATATGCCGATTCCACTTAAAATTATTCTCTATGACCAAGCCAAGAACCTTGTGACTCAGGGGTGTAGCGAAGGGGGGGGGGGGGTGTCTAGAGTGGGCCTAACCCCCCAATTATATTGTTTGTCAGAGTTTTCTTCACATTTTTCAGGTAGTTGACTTTAACCTATATTTATGTACATCGGTTTATAAGTGCGTAGCCAAGGGGTGGGGCCATTCTCTCAATCGTAGAGAAATTGGGGGAGGGGGGAGGGTTACACATTACATTCTCGAAACTAAAACTGACAAAACTCGACTGAGGACGTAACAACGATTTACTGGCGTGCGCGATTTGTAAATCTCTTTAAAGCGTTTGTTGATATGGTTCCAAGAGGAACGGATTTAGTTTAAGTTTTTAACTGTTAAATACATGTATTTCTTTATCATAGCATCAGTATTTCATATCAAACTAATTCTGTTTCTTATGAAAAGTCATGCATTTTTGAGAATGAAGGAAATGGTGCCTCAGAAATATTAATCAAAATCACATTGGGATTTTCTCTACCCAGCATCTCAATAAATTCCGAGGAGTAATGTTTGGGGAAAAAGTCATGTCTTTGATCAGCCCGGATACTTACAAGCATTTTAGTGTACTGCCATTTTTCAGCTATAAGAATATAAGGCTCTGGTTGAGGCTCTGCAGTTTATTCCAATCGACTGCCTAAAACCTGCTACCACTTGACTATGCAGTAATCAATTTAAAAATGTATCATCTGATTCAGCAAGGCAGATGCTAAATATATTTCTGGCGCCGCCAAAAAAACAGAGGAAATCAAATCGGCGTTCCCTTTGACCAACAGTCCAACAGAGCTTTTCATCTGGTGTTAACCACCATCCAGTGACTGTAGCCAAGGATGAAATAACTTTTAGTAAGTTAAAAACAGTGAAAACCCTGTGTAGAGCAAGAACTATAGGGATGAGCAGTTAGAAGAACCTATGTTCATGGCTTGTGAAAAAGACATCACGGATGAAATACTTAAAATGTACAGAATCTAGCCACCCTGTGGGCTTGTTTGAAATCAAGGTGAATTGCGATCGCTCTAAGTGTAAATTGAATGTGATTGTAGTTGCCTATTCTTTGATTTTGTTAGATCCTTTTATTAGTTGTTCAGAACAGTTACATTAATGATACACTTAGTCTAGTGTTAATATAAAATAATTCTTAATAGATATTAAAAATTACATTGAAATATTATTGAAGGATATTTATAAATAATTAAATCGTTAGTGGTGAAACCACACCCAAACCACGCCTCAGGCACGCCCACTTTGTCGGCAAAAATGAGGCATTGACCCCCCAAGCACATAGCCTTCGCTACGCCCCTGTTGTGACTGGAAACAATTTTCAGGGGATGTCCCTCCAAATTGAGACGTTATAAAGTGGGTCCCTCTTTCATAAGGAAACATATGTGCATCTCTTTGCACTTCTTTGAATTTAACTTCATCAAGTTGTCGCCAGCCCATGTATTGACGTCATCAACATTATTCTGTGTATGGGACTCACCATTCCTTGACAGGGACTCGGAAATGGAGACATCGTCCATGAATTTCCAAGTACCACTATTCTCTGGGGATGAAATATTTAGATCATTGATCATAATCAAAAATAAGATTGGTCCCCATTTTGTTCCTTGCGGTACACCAGCTGTAACCGCTAGCCAGTCCAAGGTAGTGATACCAAGTCTTACACACTGTAGACCTACGGTTAGACAGAAAACTTATAATCTATGGGATCAAAGAGCGCCTTACTCCGATATCAATAAGCTTACTAATAAGCACATTATGTCCAATACGATCGAAAGCCTTTGTGTAGTCTAAAAAGAGTAGGCGGGTATGCTTATCATGCAGGAGAGTCAAGGTGGGATAGCCAATTATGCATTATATCGAGAAGGCAATATCGCCAGTATGCTGTTGATGATCCTCTTAAACAACCAATTGCTGTACGTCAATACTATTCACAACGTCTTCCATCATCCATTGTACAACAAAGTCCTCCAAGACTTTAGACAAGGAGTGAGAGAGATTGGTCGAGTATCTCCTTCACAAGTCGGTTGTGACACTTCGGGAATTGGGGAAATGCACGAATCTTTCCAGACGGCGGGAAATGTTCCAGAGGTTAGGGATGTGTTAAAAATGGTTGGGGGTAATTATTCCGCAAACTCGTGAGCAAATTCGTTTAATATACGCGTTGTAATGTTATTAGGGCCACATGCCTTGAGAGATTAAAGAGCACAAAGTTTCTTATAAACTTGGTAAGGTTCAATCATAGGTCGTGTGTCAGGAGCGGGTAGGAATTATTATTTCATTTTATTCACAGCATTCCACCACTTCCGACAATCTTCTTTACGAAATTGCTCTTTTTTTCCTGATTGAACTTTGCACTTCAGTAGTTGCCACTGTTGCTTATCACCTCCATGAAAGGCTTTTTGACGATCTTTAATAAGTTGCAAAATCACGAAGTTCTTGTGCTGAACGATCAGGGGGATTGCAAGTAAGACAAACGGCAATCCCCGACAAGGGTCTGGGTAAGTATTCGGGACGAAGCCACAGACACTCGAAGTTTGAACTCTCCAGGTCCAGCATTCGTTGGCAGGGAATGTTTTCCGACAGACAAACACCGCCTCCGCGGGCACAAGATCGATCATTACGATAAATCTTATAACCGTCAAGTGCTATAAGGTCATCAGAAATATCCTCGTATAACCATGATTTAGTAATAGCAATGATGGTTGCAGGATTGCTAAATAAAAGCGCTTGCAGTTCGTTGACTTTCGAGAAAAGCGAACGTGTATTGATAAGATAGTAGCTTGGAAGCCGGGCCAAAAATTGTAACAATTATTGTTTGTAACAATTATTGTTTGTAACAATTATTGTTTGTTACCTCCTCGTTGAGTGATACACAGTGTCCAGGTGACTCAGCCACCCTGGAGAGCTGATATGATAATATGCTATATGATAATATGATATAACTGTGGATAAAGGGGTTTTCCATGGGTTTTATAGTAACATACAAATCAAAACTATTTATGGAAAATTGTCACACTAGTTGGTGCTGGATATGCCAATATATACATTTTTTGTGAAGCAATAAATCAATGCAATTTGCAATTTACTATATATGTAGGTTTTTCCATAAAATGAGTCATTCCAGAAAACATCCATACGGAGGAAATTGGAAGTTAACCCCCCTCCCCTCTTTGGATGTCCTAATTACACTTACTATTGTCAAAAACACTCACTGTTGTCAGATTTCCTCCGTGAGGCGAGTGTGGATCTTTTCTGGAATGAGCCAGTACTAATAAATGTATATTTTCACAGTGAGTCATAATTTTTAAAACCAATTATATACAAATAAGATTAATAACTCGCCATAAGAATCCAAGTACAAAGGGACTATCTTTGGGTAGAAACTGTCTTAAGGATGATTGAATGTGAATTGACTAATTCTGAGTGTGAATTTAGCTAAGTCTGTCTACGAAACAAACAAGCCTAGGTACGAAATGGTAAGGGTTTGGAAAGGCAGGAGTAAAAAGTGACCCTGGAGTCAGTATTTTTATATGTTAATACTAGATTGTTGAAAACCAGGGTGTTTTATCAAACAAACAAACCCTAACCCAAAAATGTTCAGGGAAAAGTGCTTGAACAGGATTTGAACCCATGGCATAGTAACTACCAGGGGCACACCCTGACAAGTTTGACAAGTAAAATAGTCTGGCATTAGAACAACGCAACTTAATGCATGGGTTAACCAATAACCAGGCACATGGGCAGATAGTCCAGTTGACCCAATGAGCCCCATCGCTCTTCCCTTGACAATAATATCATCTGTAAAATAATATTAGGGAAGTTATAGCCTGCGAACAGTCTATATAATAGAAATTCGTTTCCAGCAAGTCTCGGAAACAGCCGAAATACCAGACTCGTTCGCAGGCGTCATTGCAAGCGTGCGAGCAGGCACTTCTTGAATTTGTGCTTGCACATTTTAAAATCTCGTTAAAATCCTGATATTTTAACAAATTATTTACAGTAGCTGTCAAAACCTAAAACACAATGATTTTTTGAGGCCATTCTGTGGCCACTCTTTTCGTGCTGGTTCGACAACGCAACGCAACGCAACCTCATTATTCAGTTTTTGTTTAGGCTGTAATGACTGAACATAGTAATTGTTTTAATGAATATTTTAATACAGGATTTGCAATCCTTTGCCATGGGATTATTTAGTGGCGAGGCACGAACTGACGAAGTATTTCCATTTCCTGAAGGTAAATTATAGCTTTGTCTAAAACATTTGGATTGTCAGCATATGCAGCAGTTTAAAAATATTAAGACAGCAGGACACTAGCCTGATGTCATCATGTTGAAAAATGCCGCAATGCACCCTTCTGGAAGGTACGTCACTTTGGCTATAGAGCCTCGTTTTCGTGTATGTGACGTCAGGTAAAGGCCACGTATCAATCAACCTCGTACCCAGGGCCTTTGCGCGGTTCAGAGGCTCTGGTACGGGAAGCAAAGGCCCTGGTAAACACTGGTCATGTGACTCCAAAAATATTGGACATTTGTAACCTGGCCTTTGTTTAGGTCATGTTATCCCGGGGGGGGGATGAACAACTGAACATTGCAATGCACGAACTATAAAAGTTTCAAATACAAATGATTTTGCCTTTGATTTTTAAAATATGAATGTATAACAATTATTTGAAAATTCATATTTTAAAACAACAGACAGCAGATTTAGGCTTGTTTTTATTTGATGGAAATTATAAACTTTGAAGTCACATGGATTTTGAATTATGCTTTAAAGAATGCAGTATATTCGAGGTACTAAACGATTTTATGATGCATATATAAAATTATATTCTCATATCTTTTAATATTTATCAATTTATATATCATAAATTCCAGCAGATTCGTGGCTGTCTGTTTGTATAATTAGTTTTCTTCGTTTAATTACTCCTCCATCGCTTTTGGATATAAACCCTCCTTCATGCCTGATATATTTTTTGGTTATCTCCATCCTTCACTTAGTAATTCACTAAAATCAAAATTTTCTGTTCCAGCTTGCTCAGAAAATATTCAATCTTTCATAACTGTAGTTATCTTTGGCATGTAAAATCATTAGGCAGTACCCTCAGTAAAATACTTATTTAACTGGCTGACCATTACAGTAGTCAAAAGTTAATAAATGAATACATGCAAAAATTACAAATTAACTGCCCTCATACCAATCAATTGGTCTCTGACTCATCCAATACATACTTAACAGAATAGTACGATAATAATAGAAAAGTGTGAAAATGCCAACGTTACCTAACTTTGTGTGACAAGAAAGTTAGATTACATTAATTTTACAGTCAGGTATTCTTTTCTTTATCGCCTCAATACTCTGGTTGATGATTCCAATGGCCCCCATAAAATTCCAATGGCCCCCATAAATTTCCAATGGCCCCCATAAATTTTACTGGAGAAAATGTTTCCCCACTTCTTGCCATTAAATCTCCATAGCCCCCAATTTTACCCATCCAATTAGGGAGAGTCTTGTGTGGTCACACTATAGTAATGGGAATATGGGATAATCAAATATGGCATACTTTGTTATTTTTCTCTGTCCAACACCAGACAATTTTACTTGTCAAGTGTAAGGTTAAGTGAGTAATAAAAAGTGGCTGGATATTCTAACTTTTGCTCCATATAATTGGACTTTGGTTGTGAGCAAAATGTAAAAAGACAATTACCAGTAATACTGGCCTTACTACATCCCTATTATTTACCTTGCAACCTTGAGCAGTTGTGCTGTTACAGCAGAATGTGGTTTCAAATGACAGTTATTTTATGGCAATTATGATATTCCAGTGTGCCAGTAAGACATTTGTCATTTGTTTCTCTTTTAGTATTATATCGAAAAGGTGATTGCAGGGTATTCAGATCCTGGAGTGATGTGAAATGGCCATGACCTTGGGCAATTTATAAGTAATATATGAGTGGTGTAAAATAGGAATTTTTTTATTCATTCTGATTGACTAATAAAATTAGAATGGTGAGAATAATGATGATGATGGTAGTGAAATACAAGTTGTGATGATATTGGTGATGCACAAGTTGTAATGATACTGCTGATAATGAAAATATATTGTATTTGTAATGAGACATAAATAATAAAGAGATTGGCAGTAATGAATGTGTATGACTTGATCAATTGTGCTGGTGAGAAGGCAATATATTGCCACCTAGATGAATTAAGTCCCATGCCATTTTGTGTTCAAAACTAACTGTTCTCATCAGCTCCAAGCATAACTGGGAAAGCTGGTTTCAATCCTGTTAGCTGATCTTGAAACTATGTGCACACATATAAATATTTATTTTTCCCCCTCATGAATTATATTGTTTGCCCAAAATATCGGTTGATTATTTCATCTAGAAACAGTGTGAATGTTGTTTGAATTTGGTATGTTCACTCCGTGACAAGTGAAAGTGATATGTAATTCATGCATAATATGGTGATTTTTGGTTTCAGGATGTAAAAAATGAAATTTACTTACTGATAAAATTCAGTGTATAACCATATTCATTAAGCCTCTGTGTCTCTCTTAGAAGCCCTACCTGCTCAATACAAATAAAACTCTGCATAGTGACTTGTGCCGTGACTAATATTATGTTACAGCTTTGGTTCAAATTTCATAAATCATGAACCGATGTACAGTAACTGCAAATGTAAACAAATAGGTGAACGCACACCCAGTATACAGACTGTTATTTGCCTTTAAGACTCTTAAGTCACATATCACTGATATAAGATTCATAGTAAATTTGTTGTTTCAAGATCACTGTATATTATTTCTCATGATTCAGGATTGGTATCCCCCCCCCCCTTCCAGACAAACAGAAATATAGATGATACATCCCAAAAAATAAATATGAAATTAACTCACACACACAAAGGTTTCAAGATACTGTGTATAATTTCATTCACAACTGTATTTTAAACTACATACATACGGAAACCAACCTGTCACTCGACCAGTTAATTGTTTCAAAATATTCTGCTTTGATAACTACATGTTTATAAATACACATGAAGAATTTCGTTTCCATAGATGTCCCCTCTGATTTTAATATCCTTCCATAAAAGTACAATAAAATCCCAAGTGATATTCTTTGGTCAATACATAAAAATTACTTATAATCAACAATGTTTATTTAATTCTTTATAAAACGTCGCACACAAGCAGCTGCATTGGATACAAAATAGACAGTTTAAAGACAGATCACTCGACTAGTTTTCTACTTTTCTCTCAGTTTGATCTTCTTCCTTCGATCTTTGATAAGTATTACCGTTAGCTATTCCACAATTTCTTGAAAGAAAGCTCGTAGAATGCATAGATAATATATACCCACTCTTAAATCTCACTAGGAAAGTTTTATTTATCATAATAATATGAAAACTCGAAAACGTCGCGCCTTCGCGCTGCCATGTTTGATAAAATCAATCGGCTCCGCTCCCCCCGGATTGAAAACTAAATTATTACGCAATGTCCAATATTTTTGGAGTCACATGACCAGTGTTTACCAGGGCCTTTGCTTCCCGTACCAGAGCCTCTGAACCGCGCAAAGGCCCTGGGTACGAGGTTGTTGTTTTGTTTTTCATTTACCCAACCTTTTACTCACTCAAAATTTTGTTTACCCAACCCTTTTCTCTTCGGTGCCGCCCCCCGCCATAAATAATGACCGGTCCCTTAGGAATATATTCATTGCATTTATTCAACACAGACATATAAGTGGGCCAACCAAATCACCGTAATTTATGTGTAAAAATAAAACCCCCCAGAAAATCAAGAGACTATACGTCGGCTATTAGTAAAACACGGAGCACGGAGCACACGGAGCACGGAGCACACGGAGTACGGAGCAGTAGAAAAACGAAAATCCTATATAATAAAATACACTGTTTACTATTACAAATTTTTGTTATTATTAATAAAGTTTTTTCGCGTTTAACCCGTTGGGGAAGTAAGAAAATTGGGCTTTTAAAAAATACATATGCAAAACTGCCAAAAGCCATAGTTGTATTAACTGAATAGGATTGTGAAACTCGTTATCTTACATCAAGCTTATGTAGTTATGTTTATAATTTACTCTCTATATTATATTATACTATATTCCGATGGCCAACGCATAAAGAAACACTTCAGGGGAAACACTTAGACTGACAGCCTATATATTTCGTTACCCCTGCCAAAAAATAGCCAAGTATACTCATGTTTCAATGCAGCGGATCGACTGAACATTAAATCTTGTGATGAGAAAAGTGAATTTTCGGTTTATCCTTCGGCTCAGTGACCAGTGGCAATGTGCTGTACGGCCTACGTTTAAACCGTTATACAGTACGTCATTACTGCTTTCATTCTTTCAATCCGTTTTGAATATTCGGAATCATTCACAATATTATAAAACTGTACGATAGCTGTAGAACTATAAATGCTGTGGAATAAAAAAAATAAAGAAAACAAAGACTAAGTTTTATCGCAGTATTTGCCGATAAATCGGTAATCGCTACAGAAAAACAGAACAAATTACGGTAAATCACAACAAACTGCGGAAGTGGGACAATTTTTGTGTTCACTGCAGTGGCGGCGCCAGGCTTCCAAATTTGGGGGTGGGGGGGGGGCATTTGAGGGGCAAACTCAAATTTTGGGGGGGCAAGATAGAATTTTTAAAAAGGTCGCCCCTCCCAGGAAATTCGCCCCCCCCCTCCTCAAAACGTGGCGATATTCCTAGGAATATCGCCCCCGGGGGCGAATATCCTAGGAATATCGCCTCCCAGGGGGGTGGGGCGAATACCCTAGGAATATCGCTCCTCTTTAGGACATTCGCCCCCCATATATGCGATGTGGTTTATTCAAATAATTTCGTGATACTTTCATCTTATTATTGCCTTACATGTTTGAGAATTTAACTCTTCAAAACTAAAGCTTTTTTGTCTTTTTTTGAAACGTATTATTGGAGTATTGGCAAGTTTTACCATTCAGAGATTTACAAACTAATACTGAAACTGTAAAAAACAGTTTGAAGTATACGCGCATTCACTAATGAGTAATGACAACTTATAAGCCATACATTTTCCGATAACGACAGAACGCTTGTGTAGCCTTTAGTAGCTCTTAGTGACTAATAATTTTTTTTGAGAGGGGGGGGCAAAATGGGGGGGGGGCAAAAAATAATATTGGGGGGGGCATTTGCCCCCCCCCTGGCGCCGCCACTGGTTCACTGTTATTTGAT